GAAGAAAATGTCCTGAGGCGATGGGTCTGAGAGTGAGGGGCAGAACAAGCAGGTTCCAGGGCCCCTCCTGAACACAGTCTGGTGAGGGCCGTCAGAGCCAGGGGCCTGGGCAACCTCTGCTGGGCCTGGCGCCCCCTCACGGCCACCTCCAGGCAATGTTTGGAGAACAGTGGGGACAGGTGGAGGGACAGGGGTGCCAGACTCGACAGAGCTGACAGCAGAGGGCAGAGGAGAGGGAAAGCGCCCCAAAGCCCTCCCGGGCTGATGGTAACGATGGCCTGCGCCCCTCTAGGCCACCAGTGAGACCTGCACCCCGAGCGCAGCAGGAGAAGAGGTGAACAGGACAGGTAAGGGGAGTCGCGGGAGCTGGGGGGCGGCACGGGGGTTGGGGGGCGGCTCCAGGCTAGCGGGTCCAGCCAGCAGGAGGCTCGGCAGCCCTTTCCAGAGAAAACACTGAGAACTGGGCCAGGCCAGGCGGCGGCTCGAGACGGCACAGCAGCTCCCCCCGAAAAAGGTGGGGGGACTCCCACAGCCTCTGAAATCCCTGCTCACGGAATCACATATTCCAGTCACCCTGTCATGAGTGGATTTGGGGCAGGGATGGGGTGGTGTGAGGGGAGAGGCTGGATGAAGGGGGTTCTCCCTTATAGGTCCAGAGCTCTGAGGGGTGCTCTCAGGGGAACTGGGTTGGGGGTGGCATGCCCAGGGCTCTCCAAGGGACTGGAGACTGCATGCTAGAATCTGTCAGGAGAGAACAAGTCCAGGCTTCTGGACCCTTCCACCTCGGGAGAGACGTGCTTAGTTTCAAAGCTCTATGAGTTATACTTCACTCTCTCTCTGTCTCTTTCTTCTGTCTGTCTGTCTGTCTGTCTGTCTCTCTCTCTCTCCCTCTCTCAGCCCATCCATAACCACACCTCAGAGCAAGGACAGCCTGAAAAACTGGCTCCATCTTCCCTGGGAAACCAGCTGCCTTTGCTGTAAAAACAACCAATGAGTTCTACAAGTTCAAAAGAATTAGAAGTAAAATCGACTCCACCTATTTCTGATGCATCACAGCTTGACTGACAAATATATCTGATAAAAAAAAAAAGGTTTGGTTTGAACTCTTCAGCAGTTTCTACTTATTTTTTCTCCGGAGTGACAGAGAAAAGATGCAACTCTGACCTCCCAAACACAGGAGGTGAAAGGCAGAATTTGGTTGGTTTCTCTACAAAGTTTAGGAAATGGTGGCACTAATATATGCCTCTTTCTCTGTCTCTTTTAATATTTTTTTTTAGCTTGAAAAAATAATCTGAGGGCCAGAGAGGTAGGACAGCAGGGGGCTCTTCTCTGCATGCAGCTGACCCGGGTTTGATCCCCGACATTTCATATGGTTCCCCCAGTACTGCCAGGAGTGATCCCTGAGTGCAAAGCCAGAAGTAAGCCCTGAGCACTGCCAGATGTGGCCCAAACCTTCCCCCACCGCAAAAGAAACCAATGTAACCGAGAGACAGTACATGGGTTAAGACACTTACCTTGCATATGGTCAACCTAATTCCTGAAACTGTGTGTAGTTCCTGAACCCTGCCAGGAGTGATCCCTGAGCACCGTTGAGTGTGGCCCCCAAACCAAAATAAACAATATTAAATAAATAAAATTTGAAAGTCAATAAAACATGCTTCATAGACATATATACAAAAACATCACTGCTTGGAGCACACTTGTAAGGCTCAACCGGAAGGGGGAGATGATTGGGGGGTGGGGGGTGGAGCTTATGTATCACATGTAAGAGTTTTGATTGCTCACACCACACAATCCCCTGAGCGCTGCTAGGAACAAGCTGGAAATGGCCCCTGGGCATCACAGGGGGTGTCCCCCTGAAAAAATGTTAGAAAGAATTCTATATATTTGGGGCAGAGGGGTTGGGGCCACACCCACTGGTGCTCAGGGGACCATTTGTGGTACCAAGGATCAGCCCCCAGCCTCCTGCATGTAAAGTCTGCGTTTCAGCTCGCTGAGCTCTCTCCAGACCCTGAAAACATTTTTCCCCTTAGGAACTCTATGCTGATACATAAAATTTGTGTGAAGTCATCATGTAAAACTCAGTGCAAATATTTTCCATGTGGGAGTCCGGTATTCTTCCAAATAGAAGATTCTTCCAACTAATTCACAGACAATACTCCTTTTTAGGGGCCAGAAGGGAGGGTTTGGATCACACCCAGGGATGTTCAGGGGGCTACTCCTGCTCTGTGCTCAGGGGTCACGCTGGCCATGCTCCGGGGATCGTATGTGGTGTCAGGGATCGAACCTGGGCCTCCTGTCTGCAAGGCAAGTGCTTTGCCCCTGGGCCTTCTCCGGCCCTGCCTAAGGTGTGACTAAGTGGCTTGGGAGGCAGCCCTGAAAGTGAAGCGCTTTCCACAGCAGCACAGCCATGTCTCAATACAGAGCCTCCCTTTAAAAAAAAAACCAGTTATGCATTGCTTAACGACAGGGAAGGTTCTGAGAAACGCCTCAGCAGGCATGTTTGATCATTGAGCAAATACAATACACCCGGAGACGGGTCCGCCCACCACACAGAGGCTCTGTGGGATTCCGTCATACATGGGGCCATCAAGGAAAGGTTGAGTGGCTCAGGACTTTGGGAAACTGTTTTTGATTACAAGTGCAAGGAATATATGCTTGGACTCTAGGAACAGAGGGGTTCCTGCTCTGGGTCACCTTCAGGAGAGACATGCCGGGCGCTGGTCATTGCACATGGTCAGCACCTGCTGTTGGCAAAAATGCAGCTCATTTTCAGTTTTTTTTAAAAATTTTAAAAATTTTTTAAAAATTTATTTCTTTATTGAATCACTGTGGGAAAAGTTACAGAGCTTTCGGGTTTAGGTCTCAGTCATGTAAATATCAAACACATTTCCCTTTGCCAATACTTATTTTTAACCGCGAACCCCAATAGAACCCCACCTCCCACCCCTCCCAATTCCTGTGAGGCAGATGAGTTCTAGTTAATACTCTATCTACTTTGACTAGATACATTGTTTCGATAGAAGATGCACAATTATTGTTTAGAGTTACGACCCCCCCCCAATCAGACATGCTGAAACAGCTTTGTGAAATGATTTGCGATTTGCTTTCTACAACTTGGTTTAAGAATAAAATGATAATTTTGGATTTCTACTATTTTACTTATTAACCCTGGAAGAATTTCTATTAAAAGTTAGATAGTTAAGAGATTGGTTTCTGTGCTCTGGAGTCGTGGCCGTGCCGGAGAGCCGCTCGTGGGGGGCAGCTGGCGACCTCGGTCGGGCGTGAAGGACGGCCCATTACGCCCCCCTTCCCATGAGGTCCCTGCCGCCCCCACCCGCAGCTCAAACCTGCTGTCCACAAGGCTCCGGTGCGGCCGCCATCTTTCTTTCCAGAGAGGTCATTTTCAGTTTTTTATTATTATTATTATTGTTTGGTATTTGGGATACACTCAGTGATGCTGAGCGCTTACTGCTGGTTTTGTGTTCACAAATAACTCCTGGCAGAGCTTGGGCAACCATGTGGGATGCTGGGGATGGAACCCTGGTCAGCCACCTGCAAGGCAAGAGTCCCACCCACTGTGCTATCACTCCAGCCCCCTAAAGACACACTTAATTTTTTCCCTTTCACTGTAAGAGTCTAGTCATAGGCTTGCACACCATTCAAGCTGTGGCATTCTCTGGGGGTCATGCATTTTCGTGGTGCCTGACCTTGGTGTGATGTGGAAATTGCTTATGGTACTGGGCGTCTCAGAATAGAGCTGCGGGACTGTGTTTTGCACATGCGGTGGCCACAGGGATGGAACTCCCAGTCTCACGCTTACCTAGTGAGTATCTGAGCACTTTCCACATTGGATTTTTTTTGTTCTGTGTTTGGGTTGTAGCAGTCTTTATATTCTTCTGGATTCCAATCCCTTATCAGATATATGACTTGTATTTTTTTTCATTTCATGGGCACCCTTTTCATTTAGTGTTCTTTGAGGACTTTCAAATTTTGGTAGACCTTGGTATTTTTTTGTTACCTAAGAAACCGAAAGTCATGCAGCTTTCCCTAAATTCTTGAGAATATAATTTTTTCGATGCAGAGGCATCCTCCCAGTCCTGTTTGGGTGGCGCTGATGCTTTCCTGATGGCAAATACTGGCTGTATTTTCTACATTCTGCAAGAGCGTAGCCGTGCTGCTGAGGGTCCTATGTGGCCTTGGGACTTGTGTGCAAGTCTCTTGAGGAGCAGACAAGCTCGGGAGACCTGGGCCAGGACGATGCAGATGCGGGAGGTAATTCAGTTTCCCAGAGTGCTTGCAGCCTTGTGTTTTAGTTGCACAGGCACCACCAAAGATCCGAGAGTACCAACATTGTGTATTCTGTCTTACTCGTTTCTGCCATTCTAGTAGATAGAAAATCGCATTAGGATTTTACTGTGCTTTTTTCTTGATAACATCTTTGCAAGCATCTTTTTCTATTTCTTCTTCTGAAAAAATGTCTTTTGATAGCTCTTGCCCATTCTCTTCTAAGGTCTTTGATTGCACAGGAATTCTTTACATATCCTGGATCCTTCGTAACATCCCTATATTGTGCATCTCTTCAAAGATGTATTTATAGTATGTAAGCTTGTATATCTGTACATAAATGTCACACATACATCTTATCTGGACAGAATTCTACCTTTGCTCTACTTGTGTCTCATCCATTCTAGCGTATAAAGAACAAAACTTCTTATTTTAACATAGGCAAATGCATAGGTCTCTCCAGATGTACATTTCCCACCACCAGTATCCCCTGTATCCCTCCTGCCACCATCCCCCCCTCCCAGCCTGCCTCTATGGCAAGTACTCTCTCTCTCTCTCTCTCTCTCTCTCTCTGTCCCCCCCCCCCCACCCCTTTTCGGCATTATGGTTTGCAATCCAGAAATACAGATACTGGGAGGTCATCATGTTTATTCCCCTACTCTTGCCTAAACCAAGATCCTACCTTTTCCCTTTAATAACAAATGAGACAAGAGTTTTTCAATAGTTCTCCACTTTATTCAGGCTATTCAGCATGGTATTTATGTACTAAACATTTACTGTACATTTTCAGTGCTGTTTAGAACAAGTTACCTTTTCATAATTAGGTTAATATAGGCACGTTGGTTTGCATTTTATAGCAAAAACAACTTATCTTTAGGTCACAAATAAGACTGTGCGCTACAAAGATGGTTCCAGACCTCAGCCAACCTCCTCTCCAAACTCTCACACTCAAGTTGTCTTCAAAGAACAGAGACAAAGAACACCTGTTTAAGCTTAAGAGCTGTGTGAGACTCTGGTGACAGACAAATCCCTCAAAGAACAGTAAGCTGGGATTACTGAAAAGCTCAAACACTGGTAACACTTAATTGCAAAGTATTTAATAGAAGGCCACAGGTTTTGCTTTCCTAAAGGAGCGCGGAAGGACACTTGGTAGCTGTCACTGAAGCAGCAGCGCCCACCGTGAGTGCTGCTCTGAGCCTCCCGGTCCCCTCTTCTGGCACTTATTTTGGATAAGCTTCCACTATCATGGCGTGTCCCTGGAAAGGAAAAAAGTTCCATCAGAGAGAGAAAGGCAAGGGTCAGCTAGTGCACGGCAGAACTACGGGTTCCGTGCAGATTTTAAAAGATCTTGCCATTCAGTTGCTGTGTGATATTTTTTTGTTTTTTTGTCTTTTTTGAGTCCCACTTGGTGATGCTCAGGGGTTACTCTTGGCTTTGCACTCAGGAATTACTCCTGGTGGTGCTCAGGGGACCAAATGGGATGCCTGGGATAGAACCTGATTTGGCTGCATGCAAGGCATAAATGCCCTACATGCTGTACCATCGCTTCGGCCCCTGTGTGATATCTTTTTAATTACTTTTTTTAATGAAAAAATTTTTATTATGACATCATGATTTATAAAGCTGTTCATAATAGAGGGTCAGGCATACTATGAACCAACACTAACCGAGCCACCAGTGTCAACTTCTCTCCACCAGTGCTGTGTGATCTTGATCTGTGTGTTTGCCCACTCAGAATGGCAATTTCCTCTATAAAATGGGACTTGTGGGACCTACTCCATAGTGTATTTGTGGGTGTTCAATTAAATGATATGTATGTGTGCCAAGGATACACAGACATACATACAAGATACATACAAAATGTGCATACAAGATACATAGCGTATCTTGTAGAGGCTGAATGCTTAGTAGATGCTCTGTAAGTGGCTTTGATTAAAATGAAAACCACAGAGGCTTCTGTGGCTATTCGAAAATAACCACAACACAGTGATGACTGCAGTCACAATGCAGTGCTGCGGGGCTATTTGGCGTCCATGTGCTAGTTTCAACAATGGGGAACACTGGGCCGGAGTGACAGTACAGCAGGTAAGGCATGTGCCCTGCATGCGGTTCAAAGGTTGGAGTGCATGCTTTGTGTGTGGGAGCCTCGATTTGTTCCTGAGCAGCACCCAGAATAAACCCCATAAACACTAGGTATGGTCAAAAATGAAAACACTTGTGTGCACGTGCACCCAAGTATTACGACTGTGATGGAGAAACTCTAGATGATTCTTTGTGCCTTCTGGAAGCACACACTCCCTTTTTTGGGAGAAGGCACATGCAGTGGTGCTTAGGAGTGGCCCCCAATGGTGCCCAAGTCACACCAGGCACAGCTGCGTGCAAGGCTAAAGGCCTTCCTTTATGATCTCTCTGGCTCCTTCGCTTGCATTTAAACATCTTCCTTCCATGGTATCACCAGAGAGCTCGAGTTGTACTCTCTTTCCCCAGAATAAGCTCTTCTTTTTCTGGGTGTTGTCCACAGTAATGAATTTTTCAGAGTTGGAGAGAGCTCAACTGACTGAGTACATGCTTAAAGTCTAGGTTTGACCCCAGCACCACAATGCCCCCCAAGCAAATTAGGACTGACCCCAAATGCTGAGCTGGGAGTAATTCTTAAGCATAGTAGACTTGCTATTACCTCACCCCCCCAAAAAAAAAAAACCAAGAATTTTTCAAACTAAAATAAATCAGGCACTATTGGATAAACTTGTTTTTGTTTCAAAGAAAACATCTTTCCACAGGCTGGAGCAATAGTACAGTGGGTAGGGTGTTTGCTTCGCCTGTGGATGACCCGGGTTCAATACCCAGCACTGTATATGGTCCCCTGAGCCCACCAGGAGAGATCCCTGAGCACCGAGCCAAAAGCCAAGAGTAAGAACCAATTATCACTGGGTAATGGCCCCAAAACCAAAAAGAAAAAAAAATCGTTCTAGAAGCTTCTACAAAGCTTCTACAAAGCTACCATGACTCACCTGTCCTCCAGCGGCGCAGGCGGCCACCAAACCATACTGGCCTCCTTCCTTCCGTAACCTGTTGGCAGCTGCCATGACCAGCCGGCAACCTGTGGCTCCAAAAGGGTGTCCCAGGGACAGCGAGCCCCCCCAGTTGTTGAACTTGTCCAGTGGAGGCAGTCCAACCTGGGGTCACAGACACAGACACAGACACAGACGGGTTACTCAATGAGCAGCTCCATCTTCCGACCCCTGTTCCCCCTTGAACACGCATCTCGCTTGCTTGTCCTTTTCCTTGCTCCAAGTGTTCTCTCTTGAATGCATTTCCTCTCTTCCTCTCCCCTCACATCTTTCTAAATAAGTTTCAATAAAAACGAAACTGTTGCACTAACAAACAAAACATAAGAAAACCAAGTCAGGTTCAGCTTCCTAGAAGGAGGAACTAGACTCGGAGGCATATAACTTAAGATGCATCACAAATTATTTTACTGCAAAAAATTCTAGGTCAATTCTAAAAGCACAGAATCCATTTTTGTTTGCCTTTTCACTGAATTATCACAATGGGAAGAGCCTAGAATTTTGTTTTTTATTCATTTTCAAAAATTTCTAAGAATTATTTTCAGCAAAGAAAATTAGTCTATTTAATGAATGAAGATTTCTTCTTGAGAAGGCATTTTCCCCCTTCCTACTTTCAGTAGAGGGTGACTAATCTCCAAATATTCAAATACTTTTAGAAATTCAAGCATATTTTAACAAAAACTCACCTTGGTTTTTCTTCCCATGTAGTTTTGTGCAAACCAATCAGAATCCATTGCTTTGAAGTTAGCCAAAATCTGACCCTACGAGGGAAAATAAGTAAGTAAACATTTTAGTCTTTTTTTCAGACATGTTTGTCTATTTTAAGCTTAACAAACCATTAAATCAATTTTCGGTGAAAATTTCCTTAAGAAATAATTAGGAATTTTTGAAAGACCTCTAATAGAGAGCCTTTAAAAAGTATGTTTTTGGGAGAATTCCCCGGGTCCCAAACCGAGCCGATATAATCGGGGTGCCCCAGATGGAGCAGGTGCCGTCTCCCTGCCTTCTCCAGATGAAATCCCGGCGACCATGAGCTTCTACAAGCATGGCTCCGGTATGTGGGGACCAGGACTATTCCTCCGAACCACACGGCCTCGGACCTTTCCTGACATACAAAGTGAGCAATGAAAAATAGATGATCCAGCATCTGCCCCCTGAAGGCAGGCTTGAATGGTGGTGGGAATTTCCAAGCAAAATATAATGCCCAAAACTATAGAGAGAGTATCTGAACATAGAGGCAGAGTAAGGACTGAGATGGAAATGGAGGAGATAATGGGGATATTGGTGGTGGAAAGTTTGCACTGATGGAGGGATGGGTGATGGATCATTGTATAGCTGAATATCAATCATGAAAGCTTTGTAACTATCTCATGGTGGCTCATGCTTCTGGACTGTAAGTTAAGCTATGGCCCCGCGCTGCCCTGGGGGGGAAAGGGGCGTTGTCCCTTCCACCTTCTTCCCCTCGGGGCATGGTGACCGCCATCTTTTAGAGCCTATTGGACTCAGAGGTCCGTGCCTGAAGTGACAAGACATGCGGAGCCTCACGGGGTGGGGGCTGGAACTGACCCTTCTCCCCACCCCGATGAGAACCCGAGTTTCCGCCCACAAACGAGCCGGCTCCTCTGGCTCCTGAATGGCCATGATCCCAGAGGCACACAAACCAATCTCAGAACCCAGCAGCTTCTGGCAGAAATCCCTCCAGACTTAATAATTAAAATATCAGAAATCCCAAACTGTGTGGCCTCATGACATCATATGCTCTTCATTATCAACAATAGAAAACAAATTATCTAATGATGCCTTCTCGGCAGGTCTGAATGTTGGGGGAAAATTCCAAATAATGGTAGGTCTTCTGTCGAAAAACTGAATGTAATCAATGTAGAGAGGGAATAAAGTAGAAATCATCTGCCACACTGGCAGAGGGAGGGGTGGGAGGGGGGTATACTGGGGTTCTTGGTGGTGGAAAATGTGCATTGGTGTAGGGATAGGTGTTTGATAATTGTACGACTGATACTTAAACCTGAAAGCTTTGTAACTGTTCTTACGGTAATTAAAAAAAAAAGTATGTTTTTCAGAGCAGAAAGATAGCTGAGGGCAGAGTAGACGCTTTGAATGTAGGAATACTGAGCTAGGAGTGCTCCTTCACTCTAATTTTACTCACATCCTAGGCCATGCCTTGCACTTCTTCCCCAACACAACCACAGATAATATTTTATAATTATAGTCTTCAAAATGACTTACTGAGAAAGCTTCATGAAACTCAAAAGCATCAATATCTTTCATTGTTAATCCTGCCTTTTCTAGGACTTTTGGAGTAGCATATGTTGGTCTAGAAGAAAAAATAAATAATATGTTAAAATTTGAATACTGCTTCTTATTCTCCAAATTTAGCTTTATAATAGACATTTCAGTGTACTCATTATTTCTGTCCTAACACTGATTACTGGTGGTAAAATACTGATAGAACATGGGCCAAAGCGATTGTACAGAGGGTAGGGTGCTTGCCTTTCACATGGCCCATCTGGATTCGATCCCTGGCATTCCCCCAAGCACCGCCAAGAGTCCCTGAGTGCAAAGCCAGTAGTAACCTCTGAGCATCACTGGGTGCGGCCCAGAAACAACAAAAACAACAAAAAGTAAAAGCACAAACATGGTCTCTACCCTAATACAGTTCATCAAGTAAAATCAAAAGCAGATGATGAACAAGTAAAAATGAAAGACAAACTCATACTATAAAAACCCTAGAAACCAGATTTCAAAGGGTCAGTGTAGGAAAAGGGTCAGACTAATTGGAGGACACACCAGAGGACAGTGATGGGGCAGATCTTAAATATTAGGAAGTTGTGATCAAGGCTATTATGGAAATTGTGTAACAGAATAAAAATGCTATGCCAACTTAAAGGGGAAAAGAATCAGAAAACAAATATTTAGGGGCAAGAGCGGTAGTACAGTGGGTAGGGCATTTGCTCCGCATGCAGCCCACCTGGGCATGATCCCCAGGATCCCATCATTCCTGAACAAAAAGTCAGGAATAAGTCTAAAAGAATGCAGCCCCAAAACAAACAAAAAGAAAAAATTTCAATGGAAAAATACAAAGTTATGTAAATTTTTTAAAAACCCACACAGAAACAATGGGAAAGAATCTAAAACTATATATATAACATCAACCTAAAGGATCATTATTTAAAGCAATAATACAGCAATTATGAACCCAGAACTTAATGGGATTTAAAATCTGGGTCGCCAATTTTGGCAGTGAAATGTTTCTTGGTGCAATTCAAGATCACACACCATAACCTACCCAAGTAAGAGCTGATCTTTCGGATCCTGAGACACATACACAAAATCCCTAGGAAAATAAAGAGAAGTGTTAAAATAATGATAGTAATGAGACTAAAGCAAGCAGAGGCACCTGTGTGAACGTGTACTGTACCTTAAGTAGGCCTTGGGTTTGTAACCCATCGCCAGAGCCTTCTCCTCGGACATAATAAGCATTGCTGATGCACCGTCAGTCTGAAACGTGAGACAGAAAAAAGCCATGAACTTCTCTGGTCTGTCTGCAGACCTTCCGCCATCTCTCTGCCCTGTTCCTGAATCTAGCCTGTAACGCCAAGCTTGCATTTGGTGCATCATTAAGTCTTAATTCACACTCACAGATTCATCCTGGAGAAGAGTAAAGGGCTCTTTAAAGAGGAGCCACAGCTACCAAAATGAACAGACACCTAATTTCAGAAATATTTGCTCATAATAAGCTTAAATCAAGTGCCATTGTTTTCAGTAGAGTATGAGGAACTTTTGACACTACACCAAACAAACCAATGGGAGAAGGAAATCCATATACTTTTCCCAACTGACAAGTAAAAAGCCAAAGAGGAACCACTGTTTTAAATAATTTCTAGTATTCTACCACATTTTATTAACTCAGTAATTCTTTTTTGGTTGGGGTGGAGGGCACCAGTGGTGCTCAGAGGGGCTCAGTAGAATATATGTGGTGACAGGGATCAAACCTGGGCGAGGCGCAGGCAAGTGCCTAAACCTTTGTACTATGTCTCCAGTTAATAACAATCATTTTTTTTTGGGGGGGGGTCACACCCGGTGATGCACAGAGGTCACTCCTGGCTCTGCACTCAGGAATTACTCCTGGTGGTGCTGGAGGACCATATGGGATGCTGGGAATCAAACCCAGGTTGGCCGTGTGCAAGGCAAACGCTCTACCTGCTGTGCTATCGCTCCAGCCCTAATGACAGTAATTCTTGAAGATACATTTAGCTGCTAATAGGATGACCATAAAATTTGAAAATAGTTGACTAAACACAAATGGTTTATGGATATTACATTAGTAATCTGTCTCACTGACACATCACTGTGAAAAATACAATGCTTGTGAAGCATTAACGCTTGTCCAGAAATCCGTGCATCTGTGATATATCCTCTGGGCACTTGCATTTCTAATTTTCAAAGAAGAAAGCTTTCTTTTCTTCTTTTTTATTCTTTGTTTTTGGGCCACACCTTGGGTTGCTCAGGAGTTACTCCTGGCTCTGCACTCCTGGTGGTACTCAGGGGACTACAATGGATGTCAGGGATGGAACCTGGGTTTGCCGCATGCAAGGCAAATGCCCTATCCAATCTGCTGTCCTATTACTCCAGCCCTAAAGAACCTTCCTGCCATCTTGCCATGCTGCAGACAGCACCTCATATTCATCTATGCTCCAACCCAGCTTTCCCCCAGAAAGGCCAGCACACACAATACTGTTCCTTAATTTTTGCATCTGCTGCTTTTTTCCCTAGAATCTATGTTTTATACTACCTGATTCGGTTTCTCTTCTTCCTTCATGATTAGCAGTCAAAGTGTTCACTTCTGAAAAGCTTCTTGGAGCCCCTGCCTCTGCTGCCAATCACAGTACTTGCTCATGACATTACAACCACCTGTCCTGCTTATCCTTGTGGCTGAGAAGAAGGGGTTTTTTGACTGCCTAAAGAGCCTAAAGAGAACAGCTTTTCATTCAGCATCATCTTTATAATGACTGTCTGTATTTTCAAACCTCTATTCAAAACACACACGCATAGGTCTATTTAGGCTTTTCTACTCTGCACATAAACCCATCAGCCACTAGCAGATACGCAGAGCATGCATAGTCACCAGGAAAGAAGAGTTGGCAGCTGTCACGGTGCCATAGGGCTTGATGAATGCAGGTTTGAGTTTGGCCATCTGCTCCAGGGAGGAAGGGCGAATGCCATTATCTTTGGTAACTGTGTCTTTGCCTGTAAAAATATGAACATTTTAGCTCAAAGGATGTGCAAGCTTTATATATTTTCTCTTGAGAAGCATGTCTGACAAATCACAAGCACAAAGGAAATGCAAGTCAGACCTAGTCAAAAAAAAACAAAAACAGAAGCCTCTTACAGTTATCAAGATAGCATTAAACTTGAAACCTACTTCTAAAGACCTCTGGGAAATAATATACATGTATATATTATACATACTCATAATTATACATACACAATACTCATATGTATACATATATTAATATATATTACATGCATATAATATTCTCTCGGTTTTGCTTAGGGGATGATAAGAACTAGGGGACTGAAGCTGACTCCTGCATGCCAAGCATGTGCTCCAGCCCACTTCTCCAGCTCCTCCTAGTCTATTTTCTTAAGATACTCATTCACAATTTGCTACTTGATACAAGAGTTCAGTGAATGGAAAAAAAAATTAAGTAGACATACAGACAGGAAAATATATCAAGATGGTCTAAACACAGACCTTTTAAAAAAGTTTTCTTGGGGCTGGAGAGATAGTACAGCAGGTGGGGTGTTTGCCTTGCACGTGGCCAGCCCAGGTTAGATCTCTGGCATCCGATATGGTCCCCTGAGCACTACCCGGAGTAACTCCAGAGCCAGGAGTAACCCCTGGGCATTGCCGCGTATAACTCAAAAAAGGAATAAAAAAAGTGTTCTTATGGGGTCTGGGATGTGGCTTGGTAGCAGAGTGCTTGTTTGCCTCGCATGTGTGAGGTTCTGGGTTTGATCCCCAGCTCAAAGAAACCCAGGTCAGCCGTGTGCCAGACAAGAGCCCTACCCACTGTTCTATCTCTCCAGCTCCTCTAATCAAAAACTTCTTTTCAAAAAGATATACTATTAGATCATAAACTGAAACTTGAGCCCATGGAAATGCTGAGGGGCTGGAGAGAGAGTACAGCGGAAAGCAGCTTGCCTTCCACATGGCCAACCTGAGTTCAAACACCTGTAGCCCCTAAGCGTCACCGGGAGTGATCCCTGAGTACAGAGCCAGGCATCAGCCCTGAGCACCACCAGATGTGCACCCGTCCCCTTTCATGCCCGCCCCCACCCCAAGAAAAAGAAGGTGACTGTGTGTCTCGGAGAAAGAAACAACATTCTTATTGATAAAGACATCTGGGGATTTGAAATGTGCGAGCAATGCAGAATCGCCTAGCAGACGGCTGGGAGCAGGCTGAGCGATGGCTTTACCTGGCACTTTGAAGGGCACAACATCAGAAAGGAGCCCCTCGTCCTGCGCCTTCTTGGCCAGGCTGTGTGAGCGCAGCGCATACTCATCCTGCTCCGTTCGTGTGACAGAAAAGGCAGCGGCCAGGCGGTCTGCAGAGTGGCCCATGGTCTCATTGGTGGAGAACTCGGCTACTGCAGGGAGCTGGGGAAAGACAAAGGAGCCTGAGAGGCCTGCCAGCAGGAACCAGGCACTGCTCAGCCCTAACAGGCACTACACCCTGCTCCCCGGGGGTGTCTGTTAGCTATCGTGATGAAGCCAAGGGGCGTCTTCAGAGTGGGCTTACAAATCCAATTTTTTCTCTTTTTCTGGTTTTGGGGCCACACCCACCACTGTTCAAAGGTTACTCCTGGCGCTGTACTCAGGAATCACTCCTGACAGTGCTCAGGGGACCATTGAGGATGCCGGGGATAAAACCAGGGTCAGCGTCATGCAAGGTAAGTGCCCTCCCTGCTGTACTATCACTCCAGCCCACAAATCCAAATTTTCTAACTACTGGTCTCTTCTTTTTTTAATCTCTATCAAATAATCAGCTAGTAGAACACATTACTACTCAAACAAGATCTACAACAGTAAAGTGAACTGGATCCACACTCTCTCACATTTTACACCTCTGTAGTGGGATGCTTTAAAAACACAGGTGTTCATACAAAACTTTGCAAACCTTACCTCAGGTGATAGGAAATTCAATCTGAACTTCGAGAGCAAAGACAGTCGCTGACCCAGAGTTTTGGCTTTATTGAGATCAAGCATCATTTTCCTCATTTTCCGTGAATGACGGATAGGGACATCAGACATTAACTCTACACCACCTGCCACAATCACGTCATACTGTCCAGAAGCAATTAACCCCACACCTACAGGGCACACATTAAAAGTATGTGAATGTCTTTGGCAGAAAAGAAGAAAACATCAGTTAACTGAAGCATCTGGATTTAGTGTTAGTGATATGAGCATTGTATAACATCTGTGATTAACCTTTTCACCTTCTCAAAGGGATTAAGTTTATGGGAGTGCTAGACCAATCCTGGACAGGACATGCACACTGAGCTAAATCCCCAGTCCCTGATTTTCGGGTTTTTTTTTAAATAACTACTTTAAAAGTCACAAACTCAAGAAAATCAGGATTTATTAGGCTGTATACACGTACAGCCTCTGCAGATATCCTCTGGACCAAATCTCAAACAGATCGTATTCAAACCATAATATCCTCTATTTTTCTATGCTAGCTGAGAGCCATTTTGTGCCAAGGGCTATCTGAATATTTATTACCATCATTCACAGCCACAGAATACAAGCAGATGCCTTGTACTCTGCTCATCTGGCTGATGACAAGAAGCATCTGTGTCTGTCCCCTCATGGACCCAGGCCAGACCCAGAATTTCGTGTGCTTTATACAGTGCATAGGCCAGATGTTCCCCACCCACTTTGTCCCAAGTTTCAATTTCCAGAAAGAGTTTTCCTATAAAGAATTTTCAATTTCTACTATGAGCTAGTTCTTGAGCTATAAAAAGGCCCCTATCAATGCCCCTGATTTTATTCCCCACCACCAAAGTGGCTGCCCAACTTGGTCTTAATTCCTAGGGGTGTGTGATTATTCTAGTTTTTAGTATTCCTGTCTCTCCACAATAGGGGTTATGTTATAAAAATGTCCCCCAATTTTGCTAAAGCTTGTTGGATTTTTAACTAATTATTAAAATGTCCAGGATGCAGGGAGAGAGAAGTGTTGTTGTCCCATCTAAAGCAACGGTGTTGTCCCATCACTGTACAGGCAGTGGAAGAAAGGGGGCTACAATCTGTGTGAGATATGGGGAGTAGCACATAAGAAACATTCAGATTTCAATCCTAGCAGGCAACCTTGAGACCCTGAGCTCAATCCCCAGTACTGACAAGGTGATTCTGACCACCCATGAGGAGGAAAAAACGAAGTCAATACATCACTAACAGCGCGGAGCATGTTCCAAACTATCGATGCCACCAATTCAGAAGCACACCTACTTCTAAAAAATTCTCGGGTTGCTAACTACAGCTACAGCTAGCCACATTAGCACTGTAGCACTGTCCTCCCGCTGTTCATCGATTTGCTCAAGCAGGCACCAGTAACGTCTCACAACAAATTGTGAGACTTGTTACTGTTTTTGGCATATTGAATACATCACAGGTAGCTTGCCAGGCTTTGCCGTGTGGGTGAGATACTCTCGGTAGCTTTCTGGGTTCTCTGAGAGGGGCGGAGGAATCGAACCTGGGTCTGCAGCCGGAGAAATTACACGAATGTTTGTATCTCCAGGAATAGAGAGTAAGAGAAAGATCAAGAACTACTGTCAAACAAACAACCCCAAAACATTAAAAAACTACAAATTCCAAGACCAGTGCCAAGGTTTTACTTTGGAATGCTCAGATAAAAAGTCAAGAGCGCCTTACCAAGCACCTCACAGTTCCCATGACACATACCTGTTGTCATGGCTTGGTTGGCAGAGATGCAAGCCATGGTGACAGTGTGGGCAGGGGTTTTGTCCGAGAAGCCGGCTCCGAGGGCAGCCTTCAGGAAAGGCAGAGGAGAAAATGATCACGGATGGCGAAGGGACACATGTCAATGATGTCCTGAGCACTACCTCTTAGGGAGGTGAATCAGAAGAGGGTTTACGTGTACTAATTCTGCAGAGGAATATTAGACCAAGCTCACCACAAAATGGTTTACTACCTTTTGCATCTAGCTGCTGACAGCAAAATTGATGGTGGCTGATTCCCAATGTGGCACATGAGGCCACCACTCTCCGAGCTTGCCTCATTGCCATGTTTGGCTCTGAGTCTTCAAAGATTTCAGTGTGTCATTTTAATTTATTTACAGTTTTAAATAATCCAGGGGCTGGGGTGATATACAGCAGGTAGAGCATTTCCCTTGCATGTGGCTGATCCGGGTTTGATCCCCGGCATCCCATATGGTCCCCCAAAGACAGCCAGGAGTGATTCCTGAGGGCAGAGACAGGAGTAACTCCTGAGCATCATCGAGTGTGGCCCAAGAAGGCCAAAAAAAAAAAACTTTTTTTTTTCTCAAATAGTTTGAAAGAAAATCTGTTAAAATACCTTTCATGGAAGCAAGGAGTAGGATGCTCCTGATCTGTGTTCCTACACTTAAAACGCTACCAGTAGCAAAACAAGGTACTCAGACATGAAAAACTTTCCAAAGAACTAAACATTTATAAGGAGAATCCCCGCTCAGGCCCCTGCCTGCATTGCGCTCATCTGTACTAGAGCCAGTCAGTGGCTCTCATCAAGCGCCCGTTGCTTTTCACAGTGCACAGCAGATCCAACGCAAAGTCAAGTTGGAAAATCTGCCAACTATGCAGGAGTTCAAGTTGATGGAAAAATGTTGGAAAAGTGCCAGTCACAGATGACCTTCTGACAGGCAGCTAAGGCCCGCATGACCCGGCAGAGAAAAGACAGTCTAGCATAGGAGGCTCTTCCAAAAAATAAGAAAAGACAAACTCCCTACTGATCTTACAAAAAATGGGTCTCTAGTATGATGGTGCAAAAAGTCAAACTCCAGAGAGGAGGACATCTATCAGGTTCTAATTCGGTGGAAATTGTGATGCCAAAAAAGAAAGAGAAAGAACATTTTCTATTAAATTTTACATTAAAAACGGAGCTTTTGGGGCTGGAGCGATAGCACAGCGGGTAGGGCGTTTGCCTTGCATGCAGCCAACATGGCCAACGCGGGTTCGATTCCCAGCATCCCATATGGTCCCCTGAGCACCGCCAGGAGTAATTCCTGAGTGCATCAGCCAGGAGTAACCCCTGAGTATTGCCGGCTGTAACCCAAAAAGCAAATAAATAAATAAATAAGTAAAATAAAAATGGAGCTTTCTGGGCCAAAGAGATAGCTCCTTGCATGCTTTGCATGTGTTCAATCTGTACTGCACGGTTCCCCCAGCACTGCTGGAATTAGCACTCAAGCACTGAGCTCAGAGAAGTCCCTGAGCACTGCAAATTGTGGCCCCCAAACAAATAAGGCTCTCAATACTGCATTACCTCTCCACCCAATTACTATGAAATTATGATTTTCATTAGAGGGAATCAATTTTTTTTTTGGTGGGGGGGGGGAGAAGATTTGGGCCATACCTGCAGTGCTCAGGCTTCAACTTTGGTCGGATACATACAAGCCAAGTGCCTTACCCCTGTACTAGCTCTCTGGCTCAAGAGAGAGGAATTCATTTTTATTTTATTTTATTTTATTGCTTTTTGGGTCACACCTGGCAATGCACAGGGGTTACTCCTGGCTCTGTGCTCAGGAATTACCCCTGGCAGTGCTCAGGGGACCATATGGGATGCTGGGAATCGAACCCGGCTTGGCCGCGTGCAAGGCAAACGCCCTACCCGCTGTGCTATTTCTCCAGCCCCGGAATTCATTTTTAGTAACTTTACTTACATTACGTCTACTCTAGTAGTTATCATAGAAAATACGAGTATGTGAGAATAATATGCATGCGATGCAACCTTACTCTAGTCTTTATAGGTCAGATAGGAGTGGAGGAGGTGAGCACCCCAGTGGGGCAAATGTTAAGGACACTTGGGTCATAATGGCCTAATTCTTATGAGTCCTTTCTAGCATGTGTTTTACCCTTGGCCCTATTTGACATGGGACTGAAAGAGCTTTAAATAGAAATGCCTTCGGCTGAACCCTGTCCACTTGCTTCTATTTAAAGTCTGACTTGCTCTCATGACAACCTTAGCACATGAAGATAGGAAGGAAGAAAGATGTCTCTTAAGTTGAAAAGCTGGAAAATATCCTCAGGCCTTTCAGAAAAGTCAGGTTCAAGTAAACTCGGTACTAAAAGTCTTTGAGGAGTTCGTATTGTGAACATTATTTATGAAGTCAACTGGTCCTAAAGAAATCTTCTAGCTGGAAACCATTAGCTTTTAAGTTCAGCACTATTGTTAAAAACACATTGTCTTATTTTTTTGCTTTTTTGGGTCACACCTGGCAATACTCAGTGATTACTCCTGGTTTTATGCTCAGGGATCACCACTCCTGGTGGTACTCGGGGGATCATTTGGGGTTCCAGAGATCTCGCCCAAGACGTGAGCATGCAAGGCAAGCACCCTACCTACTGTACTATCTCTTGAGCCCTTGTAAATACACATTCTTACGATAGCCTCCCTGGGCTGGAGAGAAAGTACAGTGGCAAGGCACTTGCCTTGCACGTTGCTGACCCGGGTTCAATCCCAGGCACTCCATATGGTCCCCCAAGCCCACCAGGAGTGACTCCTGAGCACAGAGCTAGGAGTTACCCCTGAGCACTGCTGGGTGTGGCTCAAAACCAAAACAGCCCCCAACTCAACCCTCCCTGAGAGCTGCTCCATCCCTGCTCCACACTCAATGCTCTCAACACAGCAAGAGGGGCTCAGCTTGTTTCAGTCAACAGCTGGGTCTCATATGATGCAAATGTCCAGAAATACATTCGGGGGAAAACACTGTGAGAAAACCAAAATAGATTTAAGATTCACGCTCAGTGCTGTCAGAAGAGTTATTTTGGCTTTTCTGAGTTTTTCCCCCCTCAGAAAATGGTCATCAGAGTGGGAGAGACGGAGGTAGGTAAATGGGGTAAAAGCGGTCGACTGGTAATGGTACAGAAAAGTTGTGGACTTTTAGCTGTGAACTTAATGTAGTATACACAGATGATTTTAGTAATGCACACTTGCAACCTACAGATCGGCTACCGCAAAGTTACTTTAATTGTAAAAAATCCTCTTTCCTCCCCTCACCACTTCTTCTGTCCTTTTCCTTTTTTTTTTCAGTGTCAGAGAATGAAGCCAAAAGTCTCAATCGTGAGAGTAGGTACTCTACTACAAAGTGACATCCCTGACCGAAATTTGGTTCAGTGGGAAATATATTACAAATAGCTTGACATACTCATTAGGCTATCATATTCAATAGATTTGAAAATGTGAAGACTTGGTAAAAATCAAGCATCAGGAAGGGAGAAGAATCTCTTCCTGCTACTTAACCTCACCAGCTTTAAACAGGTGGTTTCTCTGGGCATCAGCCATGCCAGGCTTTCAGCAACTTTAACATTTACCAACCAGGAAAAAGGTGGGGCAGAGAAACTTTAGTTCTGTTTTATTTTCCCTTCCACTTATTACTGCCCTTACAACTATTCTGAACACACCATAACAAGCACAGGCTGGAAATAAAGAAAATGCTTTCATGCTAAAAAGTTCTTCAGAGCCAAGTTTTATCAAATAATCTCTCTCTAATTGCCACAAAGCCCAGAAGACGTGTCTGGACTGTTCATTATGAAATGCCTAGAGATCACAGAGTCCCAGGGCCTGTCATTATCTGGTTGCCCAATAAACACTTTACGAAGCTATGCCAACTAGGGTAAAAGTAAACTCCTGTGAAATCGTTTAAAAAAAAAGCAAAAGAAAAACCCTGCCCTATGTGTCACCTTGTCAATGGGAATAAGCAAGAGTACATTCAACATAAACCACATTATGAAATCATTCTTAGCAAGATGCTGAAATTTCAAGTTAATCAGAAGCCATGTTAACATTCCTAATAAAGTCGCGGCAGTAAGAAATGACTGTAACCTCCTAATCTGTCTCAAATGCAAAAGATAGAAATAGTAACTATACTCAAATAACTGACCTGATTTAGAGTATCTATAAATATATATTAGTCCATCGTCATCATGTAATTTATAGTATTTTAAACATTAACAATCATTCAAGTTGTAAAATTATATTTTAAAGATAGCATTCCTAATGTTGTTGTTTTAAGAGTAAATCAATGAAAAATATTTTTCTCATTAGTTTTTTTGGGCAGGACTCATGGGCTACTCCCAGCTCTGTACTTGGGCCCCTGGTGGTGCTTGGGGGCCCATGTGGTATCCGTCCCACAGATAACCTAGTCCATTATTAATCTCTTTAAACAAATAAAAGTTTATCTTACCTCTCTAGCCACATTGCTTGTTTTCACTTCCTGTATAACAGTGCCAAAAATAATATAATCCACAACTTCCTTTGGGATCTTGGTTCGATGTAACAACCCCCTAAAAACAGATGTCCAAGCAAGAAAATACATCACACATTATGTAAGTAACAAAAGTCATCTTAGTAAATAGCACATCTTTTATTTTAAAAAATCCCTAAGCTTGAGGCCAGAGAGATAACTCAACAGGCTATCTGCATGCATGACATGTGGGAAAGCGGGATTCGAGTCCTAACACTGGATGGTTCCTAAGCACAGTGAGGAGTTATCAATGAACAGTGAGCTGGCAATAGTCCCTGAGCACCACCAGGTACGGCCACAAACAAAACAAACCAAAAAATAAAGTGCTAACCGTGATGATGTCTTTTCTTTGACTTGATACACGTGACACACACACACACAAATGGAAGATTTTAGAAGTCAACATTTGATCCTCAAAAACAAAAAAACAAAACAAAAAAACCCCCATTTGATCCTCAATTGGTAATGAGAAGGCAGATGGAAGAGTTTTTTAAAAATGTGTTTTTATTTTTAGCAGATTAGGCTGCCAGTCCCTGGCTCAGTGCATGGAGGTCACTCTTGGGGAACCAAGTGGTACCAGGGATTAAGCCTGGGCTTCAAGCATGTTCTGCACACACTTAGTCTGTAAGCTCTCTCCCCAGCGCCCCTAAATATTTCTGAATAGACAAAAGATAGAAAAACACAAAAATGTTAGTAGGAACCAAAGACTGAAATCTAAAACAAAGAAACAAAAAAATCAAAGGGATGAAATGAAATTCCAGGTACATTAAATCTGAAATAGAAATAATTTTCAAATTCTAGAGACTAGAAGCAATAACCTTTCAGCAGGAACAAATACTTCACATTTAATTCAGGTTTTGCTTCTAAATTCCATTCCCCATTAAATTTTTTTTTATCTAATGAGATGCAGGCTCAGTGGCTGAAAGTAACTGCACTGAAAGCCTGATGTCATGAGTTCAATCCAGGTGCTGCCCAATTGTGTGTGGAGTGTGGACCCAGCATTTATTGCTTTTCTGGGACTACAAGAACCATGACAGAGGGTGTGATCTCGAGTGCAGAGACAATACAAGTGTGAAGCTGCAGTGCTCACACACCAGCAAGCAATGCAACTAAATGCTGTATGAGCATGTTGGAGTTCAACGCCCACAGGGAACAACTGCATGAGCAACACAACTGAGTTTCCCCCCCACCCCCCTGGCCCCAGTCACTGCAACAGCAGCAGCAACAATGCAAGTGTTGGTGGGAGAATGGCTGAGACTTGGTCTAAGACAGGGAGGGTACAAAGTGAACCTCAGGGATGCCGTCCCCCCAACCCCAATTCTGGGTCACAGCCAGTGGGGGTTCAAGGACTACTCCTGGCTCTGTGCCCATGACTGAGCGTATGTGGTGCAGGGGACTGAACCAGAGCCGGAAGCACCATAACTCCTGTACTACCTCTCCGGGTACCTCAATGATTTTTTTTTAATTAAAAAATAAGAAAGCCGGGGCTGGAGTAATAGCACAGTGGGTAGGGCGTTTGCCTTGCACGTGGCCGACCCAGGTTCGATTCCCAGTATCCCATATGGTCGCCTGAGCACCACCAGGAGTAATTCCTGAGTGCAGAACCAGGAGTAACCCCTGTACAACCCCGGATGTGACCCAAAAAGCAAAAAAAATAAATAAGAAATCCATTGGTGGTGGAGAACGGGCACTGGTGGAGTGATGGGTACTCGATCATTGTATAACTGAAACCCAAGCATGAAAGTTTGTAAGTCTACAACTGTACCTCATGGTGTTTCACTAATAAAATAAATAAATAAAATCAAAATAAAAAATAAGAAAACACCTGAAACCTTATCTAGAACAGGTAGGTACACGTAGCTGTCAAAGCTCATATAAATGATATATACATTTGAAAATCTGTACATTTTCTTGCATGAAAATTGTTCCTCCAAAAATAGTAACTGCAAAATCAAAAGGGACACAGGTATTATAAAGGAAGACCTGGGCTGGAGCGATAGCACAGCGGGTAGGGCGTCTGCCTTGCACGCAGCCATCATGGCCGACCCGAGTTCGATTCCTCCGCCCCTCTCAGAGAGCCCGGCAAGCTACCGAGAGTATTCGATATGCCAGACACAGTAACAACAAAGTCTCCAATGGAGACGTTACTGGGCCCACTCGAGCAAGGAAGACCTAAAAACAAAAAATTGGATGGGGGCCGGAGTGATAGTACAGCGGGGAGGGCCTTTGCCTTGCACCCGGCTGACCTGTGTATGATCCCTAGCATCCCATATGCTTCTCCAAGCACCACCAGGAGTAATTCCTGAGTGCAGGCCCAGGAGTAACCCCTGAGCATCTTTGGGTGTGACCCAAAAAACAAAACAAACAAACAAAAGAGAATAAAAAGTGGGATACCCGAGTTATAAAGAATGGACAGGCAGCTATAATACAGTAAGTAAAAATTTGTAAGACCTCACTATTTTTGTTTTGTTTTGTTTTTCTTTCTGCCACACCTAGCATGCTCAGGGTTTACTTCTGACTCTGCATTTGAGGATCACTCCTGGTGGTGCGTTGAGGGATGCCAGGGATCGAACCTGGGTTGGTCATGGGCAAGGCATGTGCCTTAACTGCCATACTGTCTCACCAGGCCCAAGACTTCACCATTTGAGAGGGAGAGAGAGAGAGAGAGAGAGAGAGAGAGAGAGAGAGAGAGAGAGAGAAGCTTATTTTTTAAAGAAAAAACCAGCCAATGAATGTGGGAAGAATAATAGAATTACAGAAATCAGAAATTTGTATTCTGAAATGCTATCTGATTCAAGCAAAAATCATCAATGAATGCTGAAACCATCTGGCGAAAAGTCTGGGAGATGAGACAGTTACCTGGAGCTGATGCACCACCCAGTCGCAAAGGGCAAACGCACCTCTCTGGGCGAAGATCCGGCACCTGACCGCTCTGACAAGCTTAGATTCAGCTTTGCACAACTCGCACCTCTTGAAATGATACAATCCCTATGTCCTTTACCCAATAAACAATCTTTCTTGCATTTTTCAGTTACTCTATTGTTGACAGGGACCTCAGCTGGAGTGCTCAGGGGCTATTTCTGGCTCTCAGTTCAGGGGTTGTTCCCAGAAGTACTCTGGTGACCATGCAGTATTGGGGACCGAAACTGGGCCTCCTGTATGCAAAGCATGTGTGGTTTCTTTTAGAAAAGACTCTGGCTGGTGCTCACCAAGACAAAGCCCCAATGGAAATGAACGAGATGGCTGTCTCATCAAGCTCGAGTTCTCCCTGAAACACAGATGTCACTTGCTTCTCTCTTCGCCTCTTTGCTTGCCCATTTCCACTCTGGAGAAGCCCCTGTTCTCTCTTGAACACATACTTCTCCCTTTCCCTCCCCTCACATCTTTCAAAGTAAGTTTCAATAAAAACTATCTTCACAAAGAAAGAAAGAAACAACGAAAGAAGGAGAGAGGAAGAGAGAGAGAGAAGGGAGGGAGGGAGAAAGGAAGACAGGAAGGGAGAGAAAGAATGAAAGAAAGTTTTACGTTAAAACTGAATACTGAGGCAGGCACATAATTTAAGATTCTCACCAAGGCATTCACCCATCTCAGTATCCTGTAATCACATCTACCTTTACAGATTTACTTTGCACACGAATCTTCATGGGTCATTCTAGAATTCCTTATGGATAATTATTCATATTATCTGCTCAGGTATTCTTGCACACTAAGTTCCTGCATATGGTCATCACACGTATGAATGATATTTAGGCTGATCAATCTTACATTATTCATAACTAGTGGCCAGAGTCTCATTAAAGAATAAAGCCATGCCAAGGAGAATTGTCTGTCAAGCCTGCCAAGTGAAGATCACTGACATTCACCAGCTGTTTAAATCTGTGTTGCACATCTAGTTGTTTATTTTTTTGGGGGGGTCACACCCGGCGATGCACAAGGGTTACTCCTGGCTCTTTACTCAGGAATTACTCTTGACAGTGCTCAGGGGACCATATGGGATGCTGGTAATGCTGGGAATTGAACCCGGGTCGGCCGCATGCAAGGCAAATGCCCTATCAGCTGTGCTATCACTCCAGGCCCTGCACATCTAATTGAACTGAATGCAAAATCTCATCAAAGTGGTTTTTCCCCCCTTACTACATAAAACTTAGGAGATCCTAAATATGGCAACATCTTACTAAGACAGTATTTGAAGCGTGAACCTAGAGAAACATACTCTGAATGAAGTAAAACTAAAATTCAACCACATTTACTTACGTAAGTGCTGCTCTAGCCAGATCGTGGGGCATCAGGTCCTTATATCTGGGAAAAGAAAATAAATAATTTGAATTCAAAACCTAGTAATTAAACAAAATTTTGTTTTCATTTCATTTGAGATACGTAAAAATCTAGCAGATGCTGCTACAAATGTACTTAACTTTATTATTGAAGACAGTCCATCAGTTTGACAAATGGTATGACTTTCCTATGTCAGTCTGACAAGCCTTTATCCCTAGAGAGCTGGTTAAAATTTTAATTAAAATGTTACCCAATTTTTGTGGGTCAATTTGAGATATCTTATTCTTGAAAACTCTATTCTTGAACTCACAACTTCTGAGTTCTCCATCTTTAAAACATTTTCTTTTGGGGTCACACTCAGTGGTGCTCAAAGGACTTCTGAATCCATTCTCAGAGGACCATGATTCAGAAGATCACAGATGCTGGGGATTAACCCCAGGCCTCCTGCATGCAAAGTGCACCTTCAGTCTGTTGAGCTCTCTACTGTCTAAATGGTTGGGAGTTTCTTTGGGAGGGGTACATGCCAAGGGCAGAACCCAGGGCCTCATAAATGTCAAGTATATACTCTACCACCGAAAGAAATCCCTAGCACCTAAATTTTTATTTACTTATTCTTAATACCTGCATTTCCAGGTCTACTGAGCTCTCTCCAGCCCTATATTTTAATTTAAAAAAAAATTATTTTGGGGGCTGGAGTGATAGCACAGCAGTAGGGCGTTTGCCTTGTGCACAGCCAGCCTGGCCAAGTTGGGTTCAATTCCTCTGCCCCTCTCGGAGAACCTGGCAAGCTACCGAGAGGAGTATCTCGCCCGCATGGCAAAGCCTGGCAAGCTACCCGTGATGTATTTGATATGCCAAACACAGTAACAAGAAGTCTCAAAATGGGGACTTTACTGGGCCCGCTCGAGCAAAATCAATGAACAACAGGAGGACAGGGGGCTGGAGCGATAGCCCAGCGGGTAGGGCGTTTGCCTTGTACGTGGCCAACCCAGGTTCGATTCTCAGCATGCCATATGGTCCCCCAAGCACCGCCAGGAGTAATTCCTGAGTGCAGAGCCAGGAGTAACCCCTGTGCGTTGCTGGGTGTGATGCAAAAAACAAAAACGAAAACAATTTATTTTGTGGAGAACCAAATAGATTGTAGAGAAAATAAGGCACTTGCCTTGCATTGCATACAACAGAATCCTGTTTGAACCCCAGTATCACAAAGGGTCCCTAGCACTTCCAGGGATCAATTCTGAGCATAACTCCAGGAAGATTCCTTGAGTACTATGATTCGTTTTCTGTGGTCCTCTAGTGTTAATTTTTTATATAACATTTATATATGACACATTTGTCAAAACTAAGAAAGTAACATCAGCACAATACTTTCACTTAGCACTCACTTTATTTGACTCTCATTAGCTTCCTTACAAATGCCCTTCTACTATTCTGTTCCAGGATCTAATTTAGCATTTAGTTGTCCAAACTAAATTCAGTTTCCTCCAAACTAGGACAGTTTCTTACTTTTCCCTTATCTTTCGTGACCTTGACATGAAGACTAGGATTATGACTTTGGAGAAAGACTATCAAAGAGATAAAGGGCCCTTCTTGTTGCTTCATATCAAGAGAACATGATAACAGCATGACTTATTACTGGTGCTGTTAACCAGATCACTTGGCTGCAGCGGTGTCTGCCAATTTTCCACTTTCTGTACTCAATAAGTTCAAAGTGAGTCACTTAGTCTGGCTCTTACCTCAAGGGGAGGAGAACTAAGCTCTATTTCTTAGTAGAAGGAATAAGAACTTGTGAGCATGTTAAGAGGAGACTGATGCGATCCAAGCATCTTCCAAGCATCTAACATTTCTTACCTACACGTCTTAGCAACCATTTGTAGATCCTGCTTGCAACAATGTGATATTCTAATGATAGACTCCCCCCAAATACTTTTTTTTTCTTTTTGGGTCACACAGGGAGATACCAGGGGGCTAACTCCTGACTCCACACTCAGGAATCACGCCTGGCGGTGCATGGAGGACCATATGGGATGCTGGAGATTGAACCTGGGTCAGCCATGCGCAAGGCAAGCAAGTGCCTTCCTCCACTCCAATGGCTCAGGCCCCTCCATCATTCTTTCAATATTAACTAAAATTTTGTGGTAAAGAAAATTTGTTTCTTCTCTATCACTTATTCAATATTCATTTTAATTCTATGTATTTACTTCTTGAGCAGTTACAAAATGTGATACTATTGCAAATTTTTTTTTTTTTTTTTTTACGAATCCTAATTTTTCCACTTTGGTCACTTGTAGCTCTCTTAGGTTGGCCCCGTGTCCTTTCAATGTGTCTCCATCATGCCAGTGACTTTCGTCACAAGATGCTTTGGGCTGGTCTCATATTTTCATAGTTCCAGAAGTCATGGTTCCTTTTATGGAAGAACGCTCTTTAAAAACCAAGATCTGGATAGTTGATTTCTTTAAATGTTTATTGCTTTAAACGTCAAAAATAAATTCCCCTTATTATCATTGCAGTACTCAGACCCCGAGTTTAATCCCTGGCACCACAAGGCACCCCAAGCACTGCCAGATATGATGGGAAAGGGGAGTTAAAATAAACAACAAGAGCAAACTATATGGATGATGGCGATCATTTTGCTATGTGTGCAGATGTTAAGATGCACATCACATTGTATACCTTAAAAATAATCACACCAGAATGTAATTTTTATCTGTCAATCGTAACTCAAAAAGCAAAGGGGGGAAGGAATCAAAAATGCAACCATTTCATACTTACGAAGTGCCTGACAGCAAAAACGGCGTGCGAACCCCTTCTACCACCACGATATTCCTTGCATTGGGTTTGGCTAAGGTCTTCTTTGACTTGGTCTCGACAGCTTTAAGATAAAGCCGAAAGGACTATTAATTAAAATACATATGACTCCATTTTTACTGATACACATCCTAAGAAGAAAAACATTCAGTGCCAAATTATACTTGCCGTTAGTCAAACAACATCATTCTTCAAAGGGTTAAGAAACTGATTAGTATTTAAAAATCTCCAAATAACACTTAATGTAAACATTATCTCAATGAGAGTATTTATACCTTTAAAATTAGAGGTTTTTTCAAAATTTTGTTTTTTCAGGGGCTGGAGCGATAGCACAGCGGCTAGGGCATTTGCCTTGCACACAGCCGACCCGGGTTCGATTCCCTGAATCCCATATGGTCCCCGAGCACTCCAGGAGTGATTCCTGAGTGCATGAGCCAGGAGTAACCCCTGTGCACTGCTGGGTATGACCCAAAAAGAAGAAAAAAATCAAACCAAAAATTTTGTTTTTTCTTTTTAGGGGTCCTCACCCATGCAAGGCAAGTGCTCACTGGGTGGGCAACATCTCTGACACAAAATAGTGTATTTTTATTTAATGTTTAATGATCCATCACATAGAAAGTAATTTTATACATAACCTTACTTCAACATTACAGGATGTAATAATTATGATATTGCTTACTCTTCACACTGATTAATATTTTTACTCTTCAAGAAGAAATACAGACCATTTGGTTTAATACTGCCATTTGGTAAAACTTGGAATATGTTCTGATTCTGTCTGACTCAAGTGGCCTAGTATGTTTAACATAAAAAGAGCAAACTGGGACCAAACCTGGTTCAACAGGCTGAACCCTAGCTCTGAATGCAGGAGCCCCAGCTAAAATTTAATTCCTGGGACCCCAGGTTCCCCTGAGCACCACCAAGAGCAACCCCAAGCACAGGAATGGCCCAAAAGCAAAGGGGGAAAAGGAGGTCTTGGATGGAAATGAAGAGAGAAGCAGAAAGTTCAGGAAAACTGGGGCCAGAGCGATACCACAGCGGGTAGGGCGTTTGCCTTGCACACAGCCGACCTGGGTTCTATCCCCGGCATCCCATATGGTCCCCCAAGCACTGCCAGGAGTAATTCCTGAGTGCAGAGCCAGGAATAACCCCTGAGCATTGCTGGGTGTGACCCAAAAAGCAAAAAAAAAAAAAAAAAGTTCAGAAAACAATATACCAGGTGGCTCCTGAGAGACACGGGAGCTTGCCCCCTGTACGGCCTGGTCCCTAACACCTTCCCTGCCATACACCAAAGGTCCCTCACACTTGAGGGGGCTCATTATACAGAAAGACATCTGGTTTTGGAATCTCCCTCCACATCGAGGGCAGAAAGATGTGGAGACAGAAGGTGAACCCCAATAAGTAGCAAGAGAATCAGGAGAGAAGAGAGAATAGAAGAGAGCAAAGACAGGGGAGTGACAGGCAGAGCAAGACAAACCGGTGACCCAAAAGGCAAAAACAAAACAAAACAAAAAAACCACATCTTTCTACTTTGATCCCTTTATCTTACAACTCTACCAAGCAAGGATGGCAACATGAGCCTCAAGAAGAATCGGTTATAAAATTGTTGCCACACTGGAACTGGAGTACAGTGGGTAGTGGGGAGGGCGTTTGCCTTGCACATGGCCAATCCAGGTTCAATCCCCACCACCCGATATGGTCCCCTCAGCCCACCAGGAGTGATCCGTGAGTGCAGAGCCAGGAGTAAGCCCTGAGCAAAACCAAACGAAAACAAATAAATGAAAAAATTAAGTTGTTGGGGCCAGAGTGATAATACAGTGGTAAGGTATTTGTCCTGCATTTGGCAGGCCTGTGTTTGATTCCCAGCATTCCATATGGTCCCCTTTGCCTGCCAGGACTAGTTCCTGAGAGCAGAGCCAGGAGTAAGCCCAGCGCCTCACCAGGTGTGGCCCAAAAACCTATCAACCAATCAACCAATCAAATAAAAGTTGCTGCATAAAAAAGTGTTTTAAGAAAAACATTCCAGACACTCTACAAGTGCCTTCCCTACACTGGTATTCAGTATGACCTTCCCCTAGTTGGCAAGAATCAGATCTATTTGTGTGACTGCAAAGCTCCGCCCTGAGTCAACGTCAGAACTAGGGGAAAGGTGAAATGAGACAGAAAGGAATTATTCTTTGCAGCCAGTGCAAATCTACGTTCTAGTCAGACTGCAGAAGCAACAGGAAGCTGCCCTCACAATGAAACGTGTCTAAAGGGGGTTAGGCAACAGATCTAAGACTGATCCTAAATGTAAAGAAATAAAAAAGAATCACTTTGCAATTATCTTGAATGTACAATTTTCAAACTATTTTAAAGTATCTTTTATTTAGGATTAACAAAACTATCAATTATGATATAGGAAAAATATATATCTTCCTTTGGTGTAATCATCTCAGAAAATGTTAACTTTATAAAAGTAATATTTTATAAAGGTTTTTAACACTTTGTTTATAAATCGTATTTATGTTTTCAGTCTATTTTATTATACTTAGAAAAACTGAATCAAAGGGATATTAAATTTCATCTTGCTGAAAAAAAAAAAAACAAACTATCTTTTCTGAACAAAGAAACTAAAGCAGATGGAAATAAAGTGGCCAACTAAAGATCTTCGTGCCCAATAACAGGCAGAACTGAGAGAGAAGGGCTTCTGAATTCTGCCTGGGAAGGTGCTTTTCCTATTAACATATTGTTCAAGTAGAAATACTGTTAGGAGAACCAAAATCACAAGTCATAGCTCAATCAGTATCGAAGCAAGGGGAATAAAACAGGAACTTGTCCAGAGACATACAAAAGCATGTCTTCCTGGTGGAGGGATGGGTGTTCAATCATTGTATGACTAAAACTCAAACATGAAAGCTTTGTAAGTGTTGTTCACAGTGATTCAATTAAAAAAAAAACCTCAACAACAACAACAAAATGTGTCTTCAACAGCGCCCAATACCGAGGGTTTAAATGACCACATCAAATCAATGTGTTTCTTTGCTCTTTCATTTCATATTGACTAAACAACCTGCTACTATTAACTAGCTCCCCAACACCCCCATTTCAGCCTCTTGTAACTAGGACAGGATGATGATATTCATTAGTAGAAAAGCCTAATAATAACTGAGAATTTCAAAAGAGAAGTTTTGGCTCCAGGAGAGTCTGAGGTTGTCTCTGACCTTGTCATATGCAGCACAGAATGTCAGTAGCGAATATTCTGACCAGCAAGGTCCAGGGCAGTGCACGATGCCATAAGGCTCCAAATCCCAGGAACAGCCTCTTAAGCACAATGCTTTAGCCTAACCCTGGGATATCAGTACTGATGTGGGACCTATGTTGTTGTTTTTAATTTGAAAGCAATAATGCTGTCTCGGTGTTGTTCATACTGGAATAATTAGCAAATCAGCTTGTGTTTTTATTTCTTTATCTTTTTGTTTCTGGGCTAAACTGGCTGTGCTCAGGGCTCATTCTTAGTAGTGCTTGGGGGACCATATGCAGTGCCAGGGGTCAAACTAGGGTTAGCTGGCTGCAAGCAAGGTAAGCACCTTACCCACTGTACCATCGCCTGGTCCAAGTTTGTACTTTTATTCAGAACTGACAAGTCTAGAAATCAGAAAGTAAATTTCAATTAAACATTATTTATTCTTTAAATTACTGTACCTGGCGCAGCTCGCAGTTGGGAAGAACAGCTCAGCGGTCTTATTGCTGCGGGGGAAAGCAGTATTTACAGTAAGTAACACCATTCAATGCCTGTGTAAGAATCTTATAAATTCCAATCTAATTTTAACAAAGAATGAACAAATTAAACTTACAGAATCTCAGGGCCCATTCTGATGTTCTGGGAAGGCTTTTAAAGGTGTAAGTCAAGATGGAAGTCATTCTGAAATCTAAAAGAGATCATAAATATATCCTGGGTCATCTGAACAAGCTCTCCTATGGCAGTTTGTGATCACTGATGAGCTCATTCATGACGATTACAAAATATACAATTTAATCTATTACAACTATCTTTCGATAATATAGCAACAATGACATAGCTTTTACAGTTCATGAAATATTACTAGCTCATTTAATCCTCACAATAACCTGCGGAGCAGACCTGATGACTATAGCCTTTGTAAAAGAAGAAAAACTGAGGCATAGGATAGACTTGCCAAAAGACCCAGAGCTCGTTAAGTGGCGGGGTTGGCATTTGAAGCATGTGGTCTATCTCCGAGTTTGTGCTCTTCTTTCTCTAAGGCCAAAGGAGTAGAGACTATGAGGCATGAATCCGAAACCACCAATGTCAGCTTCCTGTTTGAGGGTTGTGTTGTGATTATGGAGAATGCCTTGTGAAATGTTTGCATTTGAAAGGAACACACACTGAGCTGGTCAGGGATAGAGGCACCTATCACATACCAAAAACAAATTTTATGCGCTTAGTTTTATACTGCACAGAGGTTACATATTTTTCACAAGCCTATCATTGTTTCCTTACAAAAAAACTATACCAACTGGTGGAGGGAAGTGGACACTGGAGAAGGGATTGGTGCTGGAACATTGTATGCCTGAAACTCAATCATAAATAACTGTAATTCATAGTTACTCAATTAAAAAAAAACTATTTAAAATGCTTAGATTATATTGGGCTAGAGCAATAGCAGGGCTGGAGTGATAGCCTTGCACGTGGGTAGGGCATTTGCCTTGCATGCGGCCGATGTGGCCGACCGGAGTTTGATTCCTCCACCCCTCTCCGAGAGCCCGGCAAGCTACTGAGAGTATCTCGCCCACATGGCAAAGCCTGGCAAGCTACTGTGATGTATTTGAGATGCCAAACACAGTAACAAAAGTCTCACAATGTTACTGGGCCCACTAGAGTAAATCATGAACAATGGGAGGACAGTACAGATTATGTTACTTCCTATTTTAAATGCTAAATTCCTGACATTTTTCCTATAACCCATTAAGGGGAAAAAATGGGCAAAGAATGTGAACAGACAAGAGAAATAGAAGTATAAATGGTTCTCAGATATGTAAAAAGATGCTCAATCTCTATTGCAAATCAAAACCACATATATATTTTACATTTTTAGCCACTTCCAGCAGTTCTAAGGACCAAGTGGACCCAGAGCCTCATCTGAATGGTTCTGGGGGAACACGCAGGGGTGAGGATTAAATTTGGGATCTCCCCCATGCAAGGCATGTGCTCTATCACTTGACAGTTACTCCAGTTACTAGAAATTTTACTTCTGATCTGTTAAACTAGTAAAGACTCAAAGGTCTGATACACACTGAGTGGGTTGGGGGAACACAAACAGGCCCTCTCATATACATACACACTGCTGCTGAGCATGAAATGGTACACTCTGATAAAGACTGCTTGATGATCTGGAAACTTTATCCGCACCTAATTTCATCCAGCAATTCTACTTCAGTAAATTTACTTCACAGATATTACTTACATGCTTGAAATATGACCTATGATGTCTGTAATAAAAAACCATGCCACCACCACCCAAGGAAATATTATGACTGAAAAGATAAGGAAGTCGGGGTCAGGGAGATAGAACAAGAGGCTAGAATGCAGGGCTGGAGTACAATGGGTAGGGCGCTCGCCTTGCACATGGCTGACCCCAGTTCCATGCCCGGCACCCATATGGTCCTGAAACCACTCCAGGAGTAATTCCTGAGCATCGCCGGATATGACCTAGAAGCCAAGAAAGGAGCTAGAATATGCCTAGCATTCTTGGGGCCCCAGATTCAATCCCCAATACCGCATGTGCACACAACCAGGTACAACCCAAGTGGAGCCCAGTGCCACTGGAGAGGATCCCAAAACAAACAAAACCAAAAAGATACATGGGTCTTTATCAAACTACTGCTGAGTTGTATTATAAAGATGGAAGAAGCAAGTCAGAAATTTGTGTGTTCAGTTGCTACCATTTGTTCTTAAAAGGGAAACACACACACACGCACACATTTCTTTGTGTCTATATAAGATACTAATGAATATAAAATAAGGTGCTAAAAAATAAAGGCTGGTTAGAAGGAAGACAAGTGATTAAGTATCAGTATAAGGAAAACTTTTCATTATACTTCTTTTATAATTTCTCAAATCTGAAACACATTTAACTAAAATCAGAGAGTACAGGCAAGATTTGCCTTGGAGATAGTGGTTGTCAGCTTCCAAGACGGCCCCCTATAATCTGTCCCCACCTCCCATGGAATTCATTGTACTCTATCAACTCCTACACATTGGTCTGCACACACAGAAGGCTGACAGATGGGATGATAGGCCATATCTGAGATTAGATTGTAAGACACTCTCTCACTCGCTCTGGGTAGCCTGCTGGCATTCACAAGCAAGTTCCATGTGGTGAAGAAATGGCATTGCCAGCCAACAGCCGCGTGAATGGGCTGGAAGTAGAACCTCTAGGTCAGACAAGCTTTCAGGTGACTGCAACCCTGGCCAAGATTCATTCTGTAAGCTCATAAGAGATCTGTCAGAACGACCCAGCTAGGTCACCCCAGATTTCTAACCATCACAAGGTAACAAATATTAACTAATTTCTAAAGTTTTTTTCTTTGACACTCATTTTTGGGAGTTGGGATGGAGAGTCTGTGATGACACATGCAAGTTTATACACACACATATCATACCATCTGAGGCACATTCTAGCCCAGCATTTACTGTTTTAAAGTTGCTGCATTTTGGGGGTAATTTGTTATACAGCAATAAATAATATGAAAGGTTTAACATCTCTTAAGTCTTTAGGCTAAAAAACAAAAGATGCTCTACAACTTGAAGACCAAATCCCTCCCCCCCCAAAAAAAAACCCTGAAATAAAGTTCTGGAAAATAATAAAGACAGTACTGATAAAATGGGAAACACCAGGTTCAAAGATACTAAGAAAAATTTTATAGAGCAGCGGTGATTAAGAGGCACAATCCTGATGCAGGAATAAATGAAACTGGTAAGAGAAACTGGATATAGCAAGTTCAGAAACATACTCAACATGTATCAGAATTTTTAATATATGATAAATGCTGCATTCTAAATGAGTGGTGGAATGATGGGTTAGTCCATATTTCCCTATGAAAATATAAAAAATGGAAAAAAGGGAAAAACATTCATTTCCCTAATTGACATCCTAAGTACAAATAGATATTTAAATATAAAAGTTCTAAAATAAAATATAATATCTGATAAAGATGGGGAAAGAGGGCCTGGGTGATAGTATGGTGGGAGTAGGGCGTTTGCCTTGCACGCAGCTGACCTGGTTTCAGTCTCCATCATCCCATATGGTTCTCCCAAGCACTGCCAGGAGTAATTCCTGAGCAGAGTCAGGAATAACACCTAAGGATCACCAGGTGTGGCCCCCAAACAAAAAAAAACAAACAAAAAAAACCCCAAACAAAGGGGGAAAGATTTCTAGTATATGATAAAGAAACACAAAATAAAAATGGAAGATATCTACATAGCAAAAACCACTAAAACTTAAAAGGCAAGAGAAAAGAATCTTGTTTGTTTTTTGGGCTACACCTGGAAGGTGTTCAGGGTTAATGGTATAATGCCTTGATTGCTGGTACTGATTTAGGGATAGTGCAGTTTGACAAGTGTTCTGTATGTAACTCTGAAACCAGCTCTCTTCCTCCTGAAGATCATGGTGATAGCAGCTGGGCAAACCTAAGATTAAAGTTGATCCCCAAAGGAAACAAAGTCAATAATTTCAGAAAAAGAAACAAGAGTCAGAGTTTACTCATAACGGAATCCTTTAGCTGTGCTTTATAGTTCTGTGAGTTCGAACTATAGAAGCCAATAAATCCCTTTAACTAAATTTGAGAGGAATTTTCTAAAACTATAACTCTCTATCCTGATACGTGACCAAAAGGAAAAATGAGTATGTGAGCAATTCACAGAAGAAATCAAAATGTTAATGAATCAAAATTTAAAATTTTAGGGGCAGAGAGAAAGTACAGCAGATGCCTTGCACGCAGGTTTGATCCCTGGCATCCCGTCCGGTTCCCGAAGCCCACAGGTGATCCCTGAGCAGTCCCAGGAATAACCCCTGAGTACTGCCAGGGGTGGACCCCAAACCAAAAATAAATAAAGAATAAAATGGCTTTGTTAAAAAATTTAAATTTAAAGCTTCCATAACAATTTTTGAAAGTAATGAAAATATAGTTAATGTACAATTTAAGTAAGAATGAATCTAATTCAGACCAGAGAAATAGTATAGTAGGCAGGAGACCTGCCTTGCATGTGGCCGACTGGGGTTTGATCCCCATATGACCCCTGAAGTACCTTCAGGAGGAATCGCTCAGCACAGAGCCAGGAGTAAGGCCTGAGCACCTACAAGATGTAGCCTCAAAAATAAAATATATATATACTTGAATATCTACACAACACATAAACATAAAAATTCATAAAAATTTCCAAAAATACTAAAATAGTATGCAGGATAGAATTATGTGTTGTTGTTTTTCATTTTACTGCAATTTCTGAAAACAATATAGGTATTACCTCAACAACTGGTAAAAAGTAAAGGTAAAGGCCCTCCCATTGATCGTCGATTTGCTCGAGCGGGCCCAGTAACGTCTCCATTGGAGACTTTGTTGTTACTGTGTCTGGCATATCAAATACTCTCGGTAGCTTGCCGGGCTCTCCGAGAGGGGCGGAGGAATCGAACTCGGGCCGGCCATGTTGGCCGCTTGTAAAAAGTAGATTTCAAAAGTAGATTTCAAAAGAAGAATGACGGGCTTTCACAGTCATTTGCTCAAAGCTTCAGAAAATAGAAATTTTGACAAGAATCTGGGGAGGATAAAGTCTAGCACAGGTAAACTAAACTATGGAAAGATACAGTTGCTGCATGTGGGAGCAAGGGAAAAAGAAGGTGCTAAACAAAAAAATGAAAGTGAGCTGTAGTAGTTGAACAACTATCACAGATAATGTAGACCCTGTGTGAAGAGCCATGTAAAACCACACTGCCCAAATCTAAATCCAGGCGACACCCTCCTTGTGTGACCTTATGGAAATGACTTAACTTTCAGTGTCCGATTCTTCCCGTCCACAAAACAATAGTTCCAGAATTTTCCATATAGTTATTGTAAGCAGTCAGTCGCTATGGATATCTATGTACATACACAAATATATGTACATATATACTCACACATATATGCGCTTAAAGCAGTCCCTGATACATGGTGGTTGTACAAATCTCTGCAATTATCTCTAGTTTTAGTGATGTATAGATATATTTAGTTCCCTCCACAGTTCTGTAGTAACCAGGATCAAAGAAACATAACTGCTATGCGCCAAGGATTACAGGAAAGAAAAACATATCTAGATTCCAAAAGGGTCGTCTCTAAATTAGTGGTTAGCCGACCACAACTCTTGCCAAGAATAGTTTTTACATTTTAAAGCGTTGCAAAGCAAAAAAAGAAAAAAAAAAGCAAACATACGACAAAGATCAAAGAGGTTGCTGCAAAACTAATTATTGTTCTCGGACAAAGAAAAGGCATAAGGGAAATAAGTAATGAAATACGAAATAAGCCTGATCAAACTAAATGCTACACTGAACTCGAAGAGAGCGCGTTCAGCGGGCAGGAGGCACGCTCTGAACTGTCAAAATCGGAAGACCTGGAGGGCTCTGGCTGTCAAGAAGTGTTACGAGCCCACTGGTCCGGTTTCTGCAGCGAGGAAGAACTCGAGATCCGACTTCAGCTTTCAGCGGGAACTCTTCATTTCAGCACCCTCCTCCCTGCCCTTTCCCGGCCCCTTCCGGCTCCTTTCCTGCTTCAATCAACAAGGACGGGGACAGAGTCTCAGGTGGACGTCGCCATCCAGGTTCGAAACCTCACCCCCCCCCATCCGAAAACCCACTCCTTCCATCTTCCAAACTTCCTCCGGAAAACGCAAGGAATGGCTGGGATCCCGAGGATGCAGTGAGATGCTGCAGCATGAGCTGCGACCCGCACACACACACACACACACACACACTCAAAGTTACACAAAGTCACACACACACACGCCACCGACACGGGTTCGACTCTCAGCATCACCGAGGGTCCCCCCTCCCCGCCCCCAAGCCCAGCCAGACTCACACTCGAGTCCCCAAGGGTCACATGACGGGAGCCCCACTCGGGGTGGCAGGAACGAGGGGACCGGCGAGAGCTGTAGCAGTTGAACAACTACTACAGACCCAGCTCCCGGCGCCCAGGAACGGCGGGTTGAAACTGCAACACAGCCCGGGGTTTGACGCCGACGAAACACCCGCAAGCCCACCCCTAATTCATGGGCTGCGGGGGAGACGGGAACAGACGGCCCCGCGCGACGCGACGTCGCGAGGCGCAGTGACTGCCCCGTGTCCGTCGGCCTCCGTCCCCGGACACCGAGTCCGCCGCGGAGCCGCCCTCGACGCGCGCCTCCCTCCAGCTCTCCTCCCGCGGGGGAGAAAAGGAGCCGCGGGGCGGGAAAGACCCCAGGCGGCGAGTCCAGCACACGCAGCGTCTCACCTCAGACCGCGGCCCGGGACTCCGGCTGCGCGCAAGCTGCGGACCCAAGTGAACTGGACCCGCGGGGGACACAGGGGCGGCTCCAGCCGTCGAAGGACCCCCCAGGCCCCCGCCCGCGGCCTGCAGGGCTGCCCGTCGAGCGCCTGCTCAAAAATCCCCGCCCCTCCTCCGAGGGCCTCCGGGCAGCTCTGCCGCGTCTTCGCCGGAAGCCGGGGGAGGGCCGCGGGCGCTCGCGGCGGCTCGGCCGGGGCGTTTTTCGTCAGGCAGTTCGCCGGGCGCCTATCCGGGCCCGGACAGGGCGAAGAAAAGTCCCCCGCTGGGCAGCCGCGCTCGCTCCGCTCCCCACTTTCGTCCTCCAGCTCAAGATGGTGGCGTCGCGGGCAATTGGCAGCCTCCGCCGCTTGACTGCTTCTCGGACCCTCCGTGCCCCAGGTGAGGCCCCCGCTGGGCGCGCCCGGGACCCCGGGGCAGGACTCCGGTCCGGTCCGGCCCGGCCGAGCCCGATCGCGTCTTGCCTTCGCCGCGGCCTCGCTGGTGCCCTGGCGGGGAGGGACCCAGCCCCGCACGGCGCGGGAGAGGGGTGCTGCCCCCCCGGACGGAGCCTCTCCATGCCGGCGACCCCCAGACGTCTCTCCCGACCTCCCGATCGGGCTTCGGCTGCCCGTGACCTGCCGGGGTCCGGCGTCTCCTCCTGTCGTCGGCGACCCCGGCCCCGGCCCCCCTAAAATTAGGGTGGGGAGTTCCCGAAGGGCCAGGGCCGCCCCGGGCTGGTCGCGGCGCTGCGACTCCCCAGCTTCTTGGAGGGAACGGCGCCCACTCCCGGTCACTTTTTCTCAAAACTGCATTTGTATAATTTTATTTTTATTATTATTAATTATTATTATTTAACCCCAACTGCTTTTCTAGCGACGCTCTTGCAGCTCCAGTATAACCCGGGGCTGAGTGTAGGTTGCTTTGCCGCGGGGAGGTTCCGCGGCTTCTGGACGGGGCGTTTCTTTTTTAAAAAATAAATAAATAAAAAACTCCAGTATCTGGAACAGAAACTGATCGTTTGGCGCGGTCAGCTCTGCGGGGCTTCCTCGTCTTCTGGTCTGAAAACGAACTCGCGGGAGGGTTTAGGTGGGTGATGGGCCAAGCCCGGGGTCTGGTCTCGGCGCATCGCCGAGGTGGAACGTCACGGTTCTCGGCTGCGCTTCATCCCGGTCACCAAATTAGAAACCGGGTCTGGAACAGCCGCCCTCTTCCCGAGCCCCCGAGCTGCTCTCTGCTCGCTCGCTCTTTACTGCACCGGCTTGAATTCGGAATGATCGGATCTCTTTTCCTTTTTACTCACCGTTTTCACCAGTTTTTTTCATTTACATCGGACTGCAGCACGCGTGTGTATCAGTTCTCGTACTGCAAAACGAAACAAACAAAACAAAAAACTGAAATTAAACATCGGAGGAAGGGATTGAGTGAAAAAGGTTCACCCAATTTCTCTCACCTACTGTTAGCCTCTGGTTTCCGTGCCTAAGTTTTCTAATTTCCTTCATTTATTAACAACCCCCCACATCGGATGTACGTTTCGGAACCTGGCTGGAAGGTACTGGCTTTGGACGAGTCCCGGGTCTGAGGCCGATTTAATCGGTGGGTCTTGTGGTTTCTGATCACTCAGGAGCTTGACTTTGGTCAAACCTTTCCACGTGGCTTTATTTTTCTCTCTGGTAGAATGAATGAGACTACAGGTTTTCTGTGATAGGAATCAGGACATGACAAAGCAACGAAAAGCATTGTAGCCCGAGTGTGACCCTGGGCTTTGACTCTGGCTCTTCCATTTTCCTCTCTGGTGACCTTGGACAGTCAGTGCGTCTGCTTCCTATGTTAGTGTCCTCACTCGCCAAATTTCTGTAGGTCACCGGAGCTCTTCATGGAATGTTCAGGAAATGTTAGCTCCCTTTAACTCTCAACTGCCCATCTGAGCCTGAGAACTTTTGAGTTTTACATTTTACAGTATGCACAGTTTGTCTTAGTTTTTCTTTTTTAATAGAAATGTATATTTCACGGTTTTTGCAAACCGGTATGAAAATATGGCACATTCTAGTAACTGTCCCTTTTCAAAGAGATTCGTGCGTTTTGGGGGAAAAGTCTAGAACATTTTAAATTTCCCGCACCCCTGGAGTGACATTTAAATTCTGCAAATTAGTCCTTAACCCTGAAATTCTATGCCAGGGTATTGCCAAACATTGAAGGAAAGTGTGACATTTACCACTGGATAATTAAATTCTCCTGAAACTGATACGCAATTCTTGAACTTTTAACCCAGTACTGCTCTGGAGGGGTTGTTATTCTGAACATGACTACAAATAAAATCCCATTTTGATCAAATTAGCCCTTTTGATTCCCACTCCTTCCCTCAATTTAGACTTCTAATTATGTCAGTAGTAAAATAACTATAGAAAATCACTTAAAGGCAAATACCTAGTATCTAGGTTTCCTCCTGTAATAGGAATATATAATAATTCCTAATCCTCTCCTGTCCCTGGGTGGGGCTGAATCTTGAGAAAAGCTGTTGTTACAAGGAAACATTTATTTTCTCACTCGAAATTAGTGCCAGTATAATCCAGCTCTCTCCCCCGTCTTCAAGGTGCTGTCTTAACTTAAATGAAGGTAATTAAAAGTAGGAGAAAGGTTTCTCTCTCTTTGGTTGGCACAGTAGATATAGGGTAAAGTTCGCCCGCTGCTGCAAAGTGAGCTCTCCCGATTAGGTTGTCACTTAGGCTCAGTTCCAAAAGCAGAACTGCCTTCTACGCCCACATGATCTAGTTGACTGTGTCTGGAATTCTTTTTCAAGTGTGTTTGTGAGCTTACTGATTTCTCTCGCCCCTTTTCTTCTCTGTTGATTTAGGGAGGTTTTGTGTACATGTGTGCATCAGAGTTAGGTTAGTAGGTAAGAGTTTTAAAACGGGGGCCAGAGTAGTAGTCCCGGATAGTCTCAGGCCTTCAAGGTACTCCTTGAATTCTGTTGTTAAAGATGGACTGGTAGGTTACTATTCAGATATCTTAACCTTTTTCACCTCTGCTCTAGTTTCTGGGTTTTGTTTTTGTTTTTATTTACATTTATGATTCTTGGGTTTAGTTTGCTCACCTCAGCCTTCTGTCTCCACAGTCCACAAGCAGTCCGTTTCCCACTTTGCTTCCCTGCCCTCTCTGCTCAAGGAATCATGCATTCCCAGCTCCCGTTCAACTGGACAGCCAGTTCCTTTTTGTTCTAGGTCTGTTTCTACCTCCTCATTTAACGCCACTAAGTAGAAACTGTTCTTCCTCAGTAAAGCATCCTGTTTGCCTGAAGCTTGAGAATCTGCACTTCACAAAGATAGGGAGGCCTTGTCTTTTGTTCAACCCAAGTACCTAAAAGCCAGCCTCAGTACAAGACACGCCTTTTGTCTCCGGAGGTGCTAAGACTGGATACTGGAAGAGATTGCAGTTTAGTGGGAGAAGACAACCTTCAGAGATGCTAATGTGATTACAGAAGTTTCCCTTCTCTAAGCAAAGGGATCTAAGCAAGGGATCTTCTTTTGAGATCTGTGTAGATAGCATCTCAGGATAAAATGTTGAGGAAGTGTTAAGCTTAAGATACAAACAGGAAGAGTGATAAGTATCTGACACAAATTCCTAGGGCTGGAAAGGCCCAGGAAAGAAGTCACTGTGTTTTTGGTAGAGGCACAGGGAACAGGAGGAGACACCTCACTTTTAGCTTCCTTTACCTTGGTGCAGCCTTCCAGGTACCTTTATGACCCTGCTGCACTTTTATTCCTCTCTAGAAGAGCACAGATAAGCAGGAGGAAACTTGTTTATGGTCATCCCATGAGTAAATGATAAACTTGCCAGAGTCTCAGCTCTCAGGTCCTTTGTCTTTGCTCTAAGGGGAAACTTGGATTGCTCAGAGAAGGCATGCAGGCAGGAGCAAGGGTTCTGGGCCTAGCCTCAGAGGTTTATTGTTTAGAGAAGTCGAAATTTCATTTGCAGGAATCTAAAGGGAGAGCGAGAGAGCGAAAGAACAGCCTTGTTTTCATGCTGTTTTCTTGTTCTTTAAGCAGCTGCAGGATAGAGAAAACAAGCAAGAGGGACTGGAGCGATAGTACTGCGGGTGGGGCACTTGCCTTGCTGATCCAGGTTCAATCCCCAGCTCTCCATATGGTCCTCCTGATCCCTGCCGGGATTCATCCCTGAGCGCCACAATGTGTGGCCCTAAAACAGAGCAAAAAGTGAAGCAAGAGCCTTGCCTGTTATTGAATAGCTTTTAAGCACCCTCGTGTTTGGTCCCCAAACCCAATAGAATGTATTTTCGTAGACTTGTTTAAAATTCCATTTAGAGGAGCCAGTTCGATAGTACAGCGGGTAGGGCATTTTTGCCTTGCACGCAGCTGACCCAGATTCAATCCCTGGCATCCCATAGGATCCCCCAAGCCCACCAAGAGTGATTCCTGACTGCAGAGCCAGATGCAACCACTGAGCACCACCAGGTGTCGCCCCCCAAACCAAATATAAATAATAAGTAAACAAAATTCCATTTAGAATATCCACCATGACATAAGATTACAAAAAACTTTTTTAAACCCATCTTGTTTTTATTGTCCTTTGCCCTTGTTTGGTGAGACAAAATCTTCAGCTCCTGTGTGTAATCTCTCAAATTCTGAGCCAGGTGAGTAGGCGCAGAGAAACAGGTTATCACACTGGTAGAGAGGTCTAGCCACTGAGAGGTTACTTACAAGGGATTTTATCTTGAAAATAATAATAATTGATAATGTTCTTAAATCAACCAGGCACTCCACACTTCTAAATTATGTTTGTGGAGTCCAAGACAATATGAGTCCTAGTGTTACTAAGGTGCAATATATTTCAATGAGAGTTTCAAAGTTTTAGGGGTTGAGAGAGTTTCATGATCTAAGTGTGTGCTGGGTTGTATCCTGAGTGCTGTTGGCAATGACCCCGAGGCACCAAGCCAAGAGAAGCCCCTTAGCCCTGCCAGGTGTGGCCCCAAAATTTAAAAAGAAGAAAAAAATCAGAAGTGTCAATAC